CAGTAGAACGGCGAAGGATAGAGTTCGATGAAGCCAAAATTTTGCAGGAGTCTGCCTAGTCCGGTTGTAAACGTCTGAACGGTACTGTATTTGTCGGTCGAGGTTAATTCCCAGTCCTGACAGGCTGTAGAGTCTTCTAATAGCCCCGATCTCGAAGAAATTTTAAATCCCTTTGAGGTCTGAAATGGAGGTCGATTTCGAAGTGCGCGCCTTCTTAGTTGGTATGATAGTTGGGATGATATGATATGATGCAATGACATGGGATAGTGATCATTAGAATCCGGAACGCTCCTTGTCGTGCGAAAAAAGGGATGTAGCATCATGGGGGCGAGACAAGGGGAGCTCATCTCCGATAACGGGGTTGAAACGATAAGGGGACCGTAGAACGCCCGGCAGCATCGCCGAGGTGCAATTAAGCAGACTGCAGAGTCCACCGACAAGTTAGCAACGATGTAAGGACCCGCGATGGTCATCAACAGCGCCCTAGAAGACCACAGTCAGGATTGCAAAACGGAGAACAGTTGGCATCAGTTGGAAATTATGCTTGACTCTGTAGAGGAAAATGTAAACGTATTTAGAAACCACTTTACTACGTTGGGAAAAGCCTTAACTGCTAGGAGAACCCTTTTCGATGTGTAAAAGTTGCGCACTTGCGAAGGAAACAGATAATAGGGACTTTACTTCCTACGAATTGAAATGTTTACGTAATTTGCCTTTAAAAATCGGTAATGTAGGAGAAAACTTAATTTCGAGTGGAAGATTATTTCAAATGAAAGCATATTTGGAGGCAACAACCGAGAACAGGTAGATGTAGACCTAAGGGGCGGTGAAATTATGATGAAATAGTTGCGAGTGGCGTACCCGTCGAAAGTATTGTGTTTCGGCAACTTTATCTTCTAGTTCACTGCAGTGCATTTCAAAACGCCGATAAAACGTCCTTACGCAACTGCGTTGGTGGCTGATTGGCTGGTGGCTGTTGAAGTTCAGTACTTGCACAACGTTTTTCGCTTTCCTGAATACATTGGTCTTTAGGCCGCCACAATATTTGCGGTAGACAAGGACATTAAGGAAGGTCAGGCGGTTGTTTTCTCTTTCCTTCATCGTAAATTGTATGTCCGAGAAGACGTTGTTGATAGGTTTTTTGAACGTGAGAATCTGATCACCTTCAATGACGACGAAGGTATCACTCACATACCACGCCCAGATTTTCGGCCTACGGTGTTGGAAGACAAGCGACTCTACCCGTTGTAGAACCGCTTCAACTATGAGCTTCGAGATCGGTGAACCCATTGGTGTTCCCTTCACTCGCTCGTAAATTGTTCCGTAAAAAGTGAAGTGCGTCCTGACACAGAAATCCAGGAGCTGTAGGATTTGGGCATGGCAAAGGCGATTCTGCATCTCGTCATTTTGCTGCGCAAAGATACTTAGACGTTAAGACTGTCAGCTTCTGGGGGAAAGAAGCAAAATGGAACGTGACATCGAAGGAAATCATGACATCACTTGGCAGAAGACTTAACCCCTTAAGTTTCTCCAAGAATAATGTTGATGAGCGGACTGTGGTCTCCGAATCAGTGGTCAGTAATTTAAGACACCGAAACATCAGCTTTGCCCGTCCGTATGTTGAAACGTCCTTCAATGATACGATAATTCAGCGAGGAGCCCATTCTCTGTGCACCTTGAGGAGGCCATATAAGAAGACCAAGACCATTTCTTGCGCTCTCGCTGTGCGTTGGTCAGACGGTGTTATCGTAGCCGAGCAAGACGCAACGGCGGACACAGACACACACACGGACAATTTTTAAACTAAGCGGAAGCTCATCAATGGAAACAAATTTTCCATGAGTGACTCGCTGTTTATGGGAAAGGTTGGGGCTGTTCGTCACCCGATGACCTAGGGTACTCTTAGAATCCTCCTCTTCAGGCTGACGAACATACTCTTGCAGCTTTTTCTCAGAAGCAGATATTCATTGATACCTCTGTTGCGAGTTAACCATAGTGCTTATTGGATTATGCGCAGCGCATGACAAATTCTATATTATGTGAATTGCTCCTAAAGCATCTACTTATGTGTTCCCGTCAAAGGCAACCATGGAAATTCCAGGAGCAGCCAGAAATCGAAGATTAAAGGATAGGCCTTGCAAAGAATCTGCATAGGGAATAATTAGCTCATGATGGGAGAGCTGTCTATCATAAATGACCTGAACGGGTGGTTTATGTCTCCTGTATTTTATAATATTCAGGGAAGACCCCAGTAGATAAATCGTAGATTCAGTTTCAGCATATTGAAAAAAAGTAAAACAAGATTAGGTGGTTTATGTTATAGAAGTACATTAATGAATGAAAGGGAATGGATGAACAGCAGCGGCAATGTTTTGTTACACTGAAACTCGCGCGAAAAAGTGAAATATAGTCAAGACCACACATTGACCTCGTGCTGGAAATGACGCACCGCATTGATCCAAAGACTGTTCGTTACTTTGAAAGTCGTGCCGACGTCTTCTTAAAAAAGTGCAGCGTTGATGAAAGAGGTGATTTTGATCTTTTGAACCTCTGTGTTTTGTGTACCTTCGACGACTGATCACACTTTTAATTCTGCAACAAATTACAGTTTCTATCGTCGTCCTCTTTAGATTTGTCGAATTTCTTTACACCTTGAGCATCCTATAATTATCTTCGCTTCCTCCTATTCCACCCACTTGCCAAAAATTCTGGTTCACATTCTTTAAAAGTCATCTTGGGATTTGCTCCTTAACAATGAAATTAGCCGTTGAGACTGAGTCAAGTTAGGCTTATGCCTACGAGCGTCTGATGAACAATTAACAGATAAACCTTCATGTAGGATTTCCTTAAATGGCTTTATTTCAAAAATTGTGTGAAAGTAAGAGTTTACAGTTGAACCTTCTTATTCCAACGTTCCGTCTTTTTATACAAGAAGACGCAGTGCGTATGTGTAGGCGCGGCTACTTTTTAAACCCATACCAACTATTTTGGTGTGATAACAGAAGTTTTCTGCATATCGCAGATGAATCTCCCCTTTTCTCCTCAAGCTCGCCAATCGAACGGCGTTCAAATAACGAGTGCTAACTCATTTTTGCGTAGTTCACGTGTCATGCTGCCTTATCCTCATAGCGCATTCAAAGCAGCACAATCATTAATTTATGCAAAGTAATTACATACATAATGCTAGTTATGCATGTTATGCTACCAATTCTGACCTGATCGTTAGTCCTGCGCCCGTGTTACCGCGGCCACTGTTCTTTTTGAACTGCCGCCCTAGCTCTAAGTGAGCTAGCAAGCTGCATCATCAGCGTATAACGTTGTATTAAAATCAATTAGCTATAGACATTTCTGTTTTCCAAGTGCCTCTGTATTTTTTGCTCCGTTACATACTGCCTTATTCTCCCTTTATCATACTTCGTCTAATCTTAATCGGAACCACCTATGTTACCTAGCTTTATGTC